TTGAAAGGAATAAAAAATAATGCTTAAGCATCCATAATGGCCCATACAGCTTTTCCCAGTTTAAAAATACATTTCAAGGGGAAAATGTACATTTTTACATTCCCTGATTTGGCCTTTGTACCAAAAGGGGTGCCTGGCTCTATGTTAAATGAAACCCTGCTGGAAGGGGAGGCAGTAGACTAGTCCGTCTCTCACCTGCGATTTTATGACATTCCCGACTGGAGGGGAGCGTGATGCTTCCCACAGGAAAACTCACCCTCTTCCCGGGGAATCAGGCAACACTTCTCTTTCCTTTCTGCTCCATTCCCGGTACTGCACCATCAGGATTCCACTTGAGTTTATCTGATCATAGGCTGGAAATCCCCAGGGCAGAAAAATTCCACCTCAGCATTTCCATAAGCACTGGCTAATGCACTCTTCCACAACTGAGTGTGTCCCAGTTGCTCTAAAAGCAGTCACATTGCCCAAGGAAGAACCCAGAGCTTGTAGAATTTGCGAAAGACAATCTTATATTTCCTACCTAATAGTACTCATCAATTGATAATTAAAAGCTATAATTTCAATAGGATGCAATTTTCAAATAATTCCTTGTGCTGTATTCACCTGTGTTATACTTTTCTTTCTTTTTCTTAAAATACAGAATGCTTCATGAATTTGTACGTCATCCTTGTGCAGGGGTCATGCTAATCTCTGTATCATTCCAATTTTAGGATATGTGTTGCTGAAGGGAGCAAACCTATGATATACCTTCCTCACCACTATCTCAACATCAGGAAAATGTAACACAACCCAAAGCCTGCCTTATAATAATCTATTTGCCCAAAAATACACATCCATAGTTGAATGCACACACTCCAATAAATTTGGATGAACAACTGATACAATTGTAGAGAGATGAGATTGTGGTCCATGGCTGGTCTGAATTCTTTCACCCCATTAAGGCACATACACAAAAGTGTGATGTTTGTTGCGATGACTGGCAGGGAACCAGGAAAGTTCATGTAGGAGAGTTCAACAGAAGGATGTCTTAGACCCCATTTTTAAAAAATAGGTTGAGTGCCCTCTCATCAAAAAAATTTCACATGGGCCCATTATGAAACAACAGTTTTCCTTAGTGGAAAATCACAAAAAAGTTGGTGTGGAATCTACTAAAAGGAAAACCAGATCCAAGCTGGTGTGCTCACGCATAAGCTTGCACACTAGGGTTAAAGATTGTCCTCCCTCCTCCCTTTCCCCCATCCCAATAATCAGATGCAGTTGAGGCTGCATCCTTGCCTTTCCCTGACAATGTGACCTTGGGCAAGTCAGTTAACCTTTCTGTTTTAGCATCCTCATCTTCAGCATGGTGGTAACAGGCTGTGGTGAAGACTCAGGCAGATCGTGTGCAAACAGCTTTAACTCAGCACCTGGTATACATGAGCGCCTTCATCTTTACATGTCGCACTATGATCCAGCCCTCATACTCCAACATCTTGTAATAGCCATTTGCTTCTATGCCTCTAGCTTTTACTGTTCTTTCCACCACATTATTGGGGGGAAGAAACAGGTAAGCAATTATATACATCGCACTTTTCTGTTGATCAAAGTAAAGTGAACAGCAGGAGAAGTAGACAACACATACTTCAGAAATTCAGTCCTTAGGATTCGATGTTACAGGTATGCATATGGAACACAAACATCGTATTATTTCAGCCTATGGTATCTGAAGCATCACATCATAGATTTTATTTTAAAAGTAACAAAAGTTAAGCAGCATTAAAAAGGATAGAATGTCCCCACATGGGCCTATTGCTCTGTCAGTATTGGGGACTGCGAATCGGGATGGGATATGGGGCTATCCTGGGGTCTGACTTCCAACAGGTGGCTAGTTTTAGTCATCTTCAAATGCAAAATCTTAATGAGTTTGAGTATGCAGATCTCGGGGATTTTGTTCAAGGCCTCACCTGGGAATCCAGAGAAGCAAATCTCTGGGTTTAAGCCTCCCTGGCAAGTTAGAAAGCAGGGATCTGTCTGCAGCTTGCACCTGTCTCTTGAACAAGGTTCTGGCCTGACCGTGAAAACCCACTGTCCTTCCCAGCCAGCTCAGCTTGCCCTGCCGCTCGGCGCTCCCGCCAGCCAGGGAACCCAACAGGACGGGAAGATCCCCGGAGTGCGGGGTTTCCATCTCTCCAAGGCGTCTGAAAACCGAAAACCGAACACAGGCGCCTGCTTGCCCTACTGCAATGGGATTCCCCAGCAGCACCCCACCTCCAGCTTGCATGATTTATTAATAAATGCAAGATGGCACACGGAGGCAAAGCAAGGGAGGCATCTGCAGCTGGGCCCGACCCAGGGCAGTTTGCAAAAATAAATAAGAAGCATGTGACCAGCAGTGGGTCCCAGGGCTGGACCGAAGCCCCGGGCTGCCCCGCGCACGCACCCTGCCGGCTCCGGGCAGGGGATGAAGGTCAGGGCCAAACCCCGTCCCGGGCGTGCACCCAGCACCCTGTACCCGGCAGGGACACTTACCTGCTGCAGCAGGCGTCCGCTGCGCCCAGGCTGGCCCGCTCCTCGCTGCCTCCGCCCCCCGCCCGCCTGC